TATAATATATTCAGAGCTAGTTTTATTTAGAAAATGACCACATGAGCCCATTCTGGTTTGGATACTTAACTATTAATTGATGCAAGCAATGTATAGGGTATAGCAATGGAGGACGCCATCATGATATTAAATAGCAATGCTGTGAAAACCCACAGCCGAGACGGAGACTCTTCCTAATTGACAGTTCTTTCACGTTTCCAATCATTACGGATGACATTTTATAAAAAAATAATAATAATTAATTTCCTTGCATTTCCATTTAAAACTATGGGTGGACGGACGAGTCCGTGTAGACACAAGACTGCAGGTGACAGTATATGAATCCATTGAAAGTTACTTCCAATCAATTTATTATTGTACAATAGAATTAAACAGTGCGGGAGGAAATGTATTTTGATCAGGAAATTCCCATAACACTATTATAATCTCTATTTGATTGTCCATATATATATACTTTAATTTCGGAGCCATGGCGACGTCACCTGCCGCTGTATCCACTCGTCATAAAACATTTTTGCAGGGAGAAATTTCTCCGCATTTACGTGGACCGAACAAGCCGGTAGTTAGCTCAGTTCAGACGCACGGGTCAAGCGATGCCATTCAGTGATGGCACAGAGGTAAGTAACTTGTTCTGATCATGGAGGTAATTTGTACCTCTATGTTCTAATATCTGACTTCAGTTATGGCATGGATTCTTTTTAAATGTCCATCGATGTTGATAATAACGAGATGTTTAACACAATGACTGGGTGTGTCCTATATTTTAATTTATAAAACCGCTGTATACGTACACATGCATAACATGCATACGACAAATAATGAACTGTTTTAATTCTGACATATAGAGGAGAATATTCATTTTAATACATTTTGTCATTACAACATTGTTACATATCCTTTCTAACAGTTTGATCGTGAACGTCGCAACGTTACGGGGTTACAATAAGTGATAAGAGGGAGTGTGTCGTGTGAGTGCCTGAGTGCACGGGTGGGTGGGCGAATTACTAGTAACATAGCTATCACGTCTGCCCGGACTATTTTTTGGTATACGTGTTTTATTTTCCGATGCCAATATAATTTATAGTAAGACTTTTTACAAAGAATTAAAACTACTGACAGAAATGGATGGGATATAGATGGTGCCATATTTGAGTAATATATTGTCATAAAGCTAAAAGGCGTATCAATTAATGGTCTTATTTTTACATATTGAGGTTGTTTGTATTTCAGATATATCACTGTCCTCAAACACTGGTTTTCAAAACATTGTCATCGTTTTGTTAGTTTATGACCTACCATTAGAATTGGTACCTTAACTTCATTTTGTCTTATCCGATTTCTCCATATATCCTGAATTTAAAATGTCACGAACACAACTGGAACTATTTCGGGATAATTGGATTCGCTTAAAATGTGCTACTGTAGGGTAGTATTGTTCTTAATTTCCTCATTTCTGATATCAATACAAGAAATTATCAGAAAAAAATCTAAAACGAACAAATAAAATATTTTTGTGAAAACAAACCATTACAGTAGCACATTTTAAGCGAAATAAATTATCCCGAAATAGTTCCAATTGTGTTTGTAGTTTTTGGGGTAGCTCGGTTAAGATGAGGTTCACGCGATAGTTGGTGTAAACAACGATATAGGTCAATAAACACATCAAGTATAAAAATTGTGTTACTTCAGTTTAGTATTAAACACGTATAAACTAAGCCTAAACCGTACCTGAACTTGAGAGATTCTGTTGACACTCGAAGCCCCTAACCTACTAACTCAAAAACGCCACCCAATGTGAAAACCAAGACATGTACGTTATTGTTAGGGTAGATTATAGAATGACAAGATGACAATGTTCGGCATCCAATGTATGTAAACATATAACCGATTGAAATACAAACATTAACCAAAATATGGAAATATAACACCATCTGTATTTTACGAGAACGCACAAATGATTTTATGCCTCGTAGCTTTGTGACGTATTGCTATATTGAAAAAACAAACAAAAAACAGTAAACTGTATTCATTCATTCATTCATTTATTTATTCAAACATGTGTAAGAATTATTATTATTATTTACTAAAGATACATGCAAAGTCAAATTACAGTGACATACAGAGTAATCAGAACATGTACTATGTTATGTATGTTAAACAAAATGTGATCACAGAAATATACAAATAATAAAAACAGAAACGCGTAGTCTATTTCCGGTATCTGCCTAGAAATGGAGCCAGGCGAATCAATTATCGGAATCAGATGATGTAAACAAAGTTATTGTCATCGCCAGACAAAACAAAAAAGACGAATTAGAACACCAACTGGTAAAAAAAAACATGAAGTGGAGGATTTTATTAAAATGAGTTGCTGAAATGAAACCGTCAGACTAGTTACTATATAAATATACAATTTCTGGTGAATACCGCGCAGAAAAGAGTAAAAGCAACTTAGATCAAGTACCTCTCTCGTATTAACAAAATCATCACATTACCAGAACACAGTCTCTGGTATAGCGCAATGCTGGGTTGATAATGCTTTAATATAAACACTACTTTCCTTTTTGACAGCATTATTTGCCCAATTTTGGTTCATTGTAGTAAATAGACAGATAAATAGCAGGTATAAGTACAAACTGAAAGATCTCTAATCATTTTACTTTCCTTTAACTTTTCAATTTAAATAATTTATTTTTTTGGAAAAGAGGCCTTGATGCTGTACTTTTCTAAGTCATTGTTATGTCATTAAATATATTATTAAAATAACCAAATTTTGGACAGAAACATTACCATAATTAAGACGACTACATAGTAGCACAGAGGTAAAAAAATAATAAACAGCAAATGAGCTCCTACAGTATTCCCCGGTTACAGATTGGGGGTTATTTTCCGTCATATACTATACGTTCATAAAGACTTAGTGCATAATGTTATATCATTTGATTCTGATTATAATGCCGGTTTTGACGTTTTTTGAGCATTTTACTTTGTCATTGCTGCATGCGTATTACTGGCAACATATTTTGCTGACAAAATGACCCGGATTTACATGGCACACCTATCTCATATATGACGGACCACTCGTTGCACTCCCTTGTCGATCACTTGTTTAGCTTAGTCAAAAGATCTAGAGTGACTAGCAACACAGACTCGGCCAATCTGAAAATACAGAATATCGGGTGTTGTCGCTACAAATAATATACAAAGTATATTAAAAAGTCAACAACAACAAAAACACTCGTCACCCCACTCGACACTTTGGTCATGGTAGTAATAACCGTTGTCTACGTTTAGGTAAGAAGCTGTACGATTTACCAGTACACGTGGACAGTTTGCAATGGAGACACTTCTTCATCGATTCTAGAGAAAACTTAGTTCTGTATACATATCATCGAGTGAGGAGGTGTTCGTTTTCAATGGATTTTCATGTCGTCTTCATGCGTGCACGACCATTATGTGTTCTATAAGTGACGAGTTTGACACCTCGGTTTGAATACTCATCATTAAAAGAGGAATGAAATTGAAACAAGTCTACCATCGAACATTGAAAAAAATAAAAAAATAAGGATGAACCACTATAAACTCTGGGCGATTGAGAAAAATATAGTTCACACAGTAAGAAAATAAGCATACAACTAAGTGAACGAACGTGGGGTGAAATAAATATACGGGAAATAATGCATATTAATGGCGCTGGCGTGATAAACAGGGGGTTTACAGCACACTACTTAGCACACTACTTAATAAATATTTTGCTTTTTGTTTTTCTGATTTAGCAGTGCAGAATTGTGTCTTTCTGTTATTGATCCACACTGATTTTTGTTTGCATGATTGTTCCTGTACATTTTTTCAGTTAGGCCATCCTTTAGTTTCTAATGGTCAACCCCCAATACTCCTGGACCAGTTGTATAGGGCTTAAGTATCACCCTGAAGTGCACTACAGTCTTGCAATTTATAACACAGAAACACTTGGATTTAACAGCAAAGAGGACAACAGTATAATTTAACTGGAGAAAAGAAATAACAATCAGTATGTATCGCCGTACTCAAAATGTTGTGTTCATACATAGTCATATTCATATTTAATTTATAACAATATTAAAAATTCATTTGACAGCAGGCGTGTTGATGTCCAGACCTAAAAATATATTCCAAATTGTGGTGAACCAAGAAAATGATTGCGCCTACCACATCAGCAGAATACGTAAACGTTTGAACAAATCTTTGATTACGATATTATTTAAACGTGACGCATAATAAAGTTACCACCGTGAGAACAGGCGAGGTCAAAGAATAAAGAAAACAGTTCCGGTGGATATCCTGAGTTAAAAAGAAGCAGATTTTGCTATACAGATTGAGGAAATTGATTCATTAACATTAAAAGACTAAAACACGTGACTTTAATTTCCTGATATATTTCATGACATCAAAATGACATGCATTATTTACTACACGATCTACGGACGTGGTTGCTAAGTCGACATTAACAGATGCGACCGTACTGCAACATGCACGCGATACAAGGCGTTGCCACTGACAACTATACTTTGCTGGCACCACCAGGTGAGTCCGTATCACACCCATTAGTAGTTTAAGTTTACACGAAATGTTTTTATTTCAGTTGGTTATGTACAAATCTAATTTGCGTCGTATCCGTGGTGAAATGCATCATGGTTCTCATAAAATAATGTAATGTTGGCACTTACTTACACGGGACCTGGTTACAAAATGACTTTGCATGCGCTGCCGTGACAAACAGTGAAACATTTGAGCAAAATAAAAAAATATCGTTTAACAATGACCATCTGTGCGGAACATACTCTATTACCATATATACATGTGCATATTATGATTATGTTTTTTTTATGGAGTGGTAAAAAACCATATTGTGTGTCTGACTCGGATCTATGATACACAGAGTGTGGTTTTATAGCTAGACTCTGCAGCGAGTCAACGGTCATTGGAGCATATTTATTCGGTTCCAGACTTCGTCACAGCTTCCGGTGTTGTTGGATTGTCCGGGCCCCACGATCATGGCTTATAGCGTAAACGCTTTGTTCGTTCGGCTCGCGCGACTTAATAACACGATTACATCTACACCAATCGGTGATGGACATTGTCAGAGCACTACATTATTGTGCAACTAGGGAAATTGATATTGAATAAGTATCATTTTGCATACATACATAATCGTTTAACTGTAGACATTTATTATCATAACCATATATGAAGTATATCTCTACTCGCTGTTGTTGTTGTTGTTGTTATTCATATACCTCTTCTATACGGTGACCGGTTTGCGCCATCTAACATTTTTTGTGTTTGTAAAATACATTTTCTCAAGTTTGATGTTTTATACTAATTTCCAATAACACCGCTACCAAACTATGGTCAGATATTCTTTCAGCAGCAGACACAATAGAGTTCATTTGATGAAATAAAAAAAAATACACACTGCGCATGTGCTGTGGAATAATGGTACGTACTTTTAATTCGAAACGTAAATACATTTGCGTCGTTCAGTTTTTTAAACACAACGTTTTCGTATATTATATTTTTATTTATAGTCTTAATTTTGATTGCATCTACTTACCAGCTGCAAATAATGCCAATAGGAATACCCGGTTTTATGTAACAAACAAACAAATGCCAAATAGACATTCCATACATAGTAAGTATTAATACAATGATTATTATTCAATACAATGGTATTAAGGAGACCTTAAGATGAGATTTAGACCGAAAAAAGTTACGTGGGCTATTTTTTGTATGCGCAAGGGTTGCCGGGAACCAAGTACCAGGTATAGAGATACATGATGGAACCATACAACGAATTAAGGGTGATAGCATAAAACTACTGAAGCGGTTACGTACCGGGGATCTACTTTAGAAGGTGTGGGTCCGATTCCGGGGCTGACTCACCTGTCAATCCGTCAAAAACTGACTCAGTAATGTAAATTAGAAGACAGCCTGTCTGCGCATTGCGGGTTTGAGAAAATGATATGACCATCGGAAGGGAACGGAGTGACTTCCATAGGATGATTTTACAAATGTAAAAGGAAAGGGGTACATCGTATGGCTTCTTTTTTCAGGCTAACAAATACAACTTGAAAATCAACATAAAATTTTGTTTTTTTATCTCACGATTATTTCTGACGGAAAAACAGCTCATTTCAAAAATGCCAAAATGTAACTCTAAATTATCGAGGGGCAAGAGTTCTTCACAAAATGTTGTAAAATGCTAGCTACAAGTATTTGGAAATGAAGATATCGGAGACACGCTCTATCGTTAGTCCTACGCCCTCAACGTCATTTGCACATTAATCAATTCCTAATCCTTTATACTATAGAGGTCCACGTTTCTACCAACGCAACTTATTACATCTATCAAAAAGACAGTAAGCCTCACCGACAGACCAGTCCTAAAAATGAATGTACCGCCGAGGGCGCAGTAACATCCGCCAAACAACTTGAAGGCAACCGAAAGGGCTCGTACATATTAAAACTAAATGTTGAATAAATATTTACCCTGAGTGCGAGATGTTTGAACAATGAATTTATAATTGGGACAAGAGGGATATAAATCAATGTAATTATTTAGAGTTGCTTCTTTCTACTTTAAAATTAGAAATTATTCAACATTTTCAATGTTTAGGAGTGGATTAAAAATTCCAGCAGTTCCTGGTAAACTTTAGAATAAAGCCGTTGCAGTGTTGCAGTTTTCGCTGGTTCCCGGCGTCCTTTGCGAATGGCAGGTAGGACGCAGGTAACTAGTAATCGCCATATTGTTCCATTTGGGCCGGTTTTCCGGCCGGAAGGCACGTGACTGGGTGACGTAGTTTGAAAACATTCCAAGTTCCGTTTTGCGTAAACGTGTCTGTAATGCTACAATAAAGCCATGCTCATACATACATACTGCCTGCTTAGATTTACAGATTTGATATGTTCTGTGCAAATTTATAACAAAAGAAACAATTCTTTTTATTCGCCCAACTTTCGAAAGCAAAAGGAAACCCCTGAACGGCCACGAGCGTAAGCGCTGACGTCAGGTAACTAAGGGAAATGGAACAAGCAACGAGAAAGTGGTGTACCAATCAGAATGCCGGAACCGTTACTAGTTACCGGCCTCTTGTGGCTTGGTACGCCATGACACTTGAGGCGGGAACCAGCCAATGTTGCAGTTATCCTCGGGGGGCGGACATCCGGGCATTTTCTACCGCCTGGCAACCCTCGCGGTGAAAACAAAGACCAAAAACTCGCAGAAAACGGTACTTTGCGATGGTTGTTGAGAGTCCCCTGAAAGTGTAATAAGATGAGCCCTACGTGTGTAACATATATGAGTTTGGTTGTTCAGGATTTCTCGAGTTTTCACCGGCTCCTTGGCGTTTCACAGCAGCGCGCATGCGCGCACAAAGCCCGTAGAAATACGTGGTACAGTGGTGCGCGTCTTAGCAACGTAGAACGTCCGTGACGTAGCTCCGCCCCCGAGGATATCATCAATACTACATTTTGGTTATCTAATTATCTCAATAGTTTACCCTGTTTTCAGTGTGGTAATTTTGAATGTTTTTAATACGTTTTACCAAAATCTTGGTTCACTAGTAGTCTGTATAAATTTAGTGCAATGCTAGTCTTTACGTTTTTATTTCTTTTACTTGTGTTGCGCCCTCTCTAGTTGACTACGATACTATTATTTTCATCCGAGAATTTTAAGAACTGTTAGCATTTTGTTTTTATCTTGTGTGTCATTCAAACCTTTGCCTTATCATTTAAACACACACTTAAACTTACTGATTAGAGTGTGTATTTTGTCCCTCAAATACGATAGTGATTGATCTGTAAATTCTATTGATTTTTTTTTTTATCCAATAAATTGCAACGATTATTGAAAGGTCAGTTTTTTAACAGTTGGGTACAAGTGCAAAGGACTCTAACTGCAATGATGCAAGGTACTTCTGAAAAAAGATTCAGTTGGAAAAGAGCACCCCCCCTCCCCCTGTGTCTCGTAATGTTAAACGACAAACCCCATGATTTTTCATGCAAACGAGTAGACACATCCAGCAAAAGTACAAAACGCAAAAAACATAAGGCAGATAAATGCTATATTTATTTTAATTGTACAAAACATAGCACAGAATAACCGATCATTCAATTAGCAGACATCGAGCAACTAACAACAAATTTCTTTTTTTTTTTTTGCACTTTTCCAGGCATTCAGTATATTAAGAAAAGCTATTAGCACATCGAGTAGAGCATCGATACGCTGCATAATTGATAAGAAATATGCGAATGATATCAACACCATTAACAAGAATCCAATATTTAGCAGCTACAAAAATACATTACAAGCTTTATAGCTTTACAAGTCGCAACAGGATGCAAAGTTATATATCTAAGCTGTCGATAAAAATAATCTTCACTGGGTATTCTATCGTAAAAAAAAAAAGTTTCCATGATATAATCTCCATGTATTTTTTCCCTCCTAATTCTTTATGCATGGAGTAAATATAATTTGCATAGTTAAGATTTTGGGGTATCCCAGTAAATTTAATATACAAATTTTTTTTTTTTTTTAAAGTGAATTTTTGAAAACTGTATGAAAGCTCCAAAGGCAGGGGAATAGAACGACAGATATAAAAGTCTGTTTGTTGCAATTAAGTTTTCTTTGAAAAGAGAAAAATGTAAGGCTTTATATGCTTCTTTTAAATACATGTCCAAGGTCAATAACTTCTGCATAAATATATAATCTATAACTACATATATCCTGTTTTAAATCAGCACATTCAACTTTTCTTGGCAAAGTTATTTACAACAAAACTAAAATGTGCAACAGTTATCCAAAAATAAATTTTAGTGCATCACAGTGAGACATGAACACAGAACATAATGCCAGGCACGTACACTAATAATGGCCGACATTGCATTCGAGTTTTGCATTTGAGTGATAAACTTATAGAACATATAGAAATGACTTTGCTTGCTACATAATTAAACTGACGACATTGTACGACACGAAATACTAGACAAATAAATAGATTGCATACAGCGTTCTCTGTCTCATGGCCATACAGGTTGATGACCCAAGTCACGTTATATATTTAAATACATTTGGCCGCAAAATATGCAAATACTCTCAAGATTTCAAACTTTCGTTTTGTTAACTCCAGAAAATTAATCTAGAAAAAAATATGGGCATTCAAGTGCTGACTATATAAAAACACTTTTTGTAAATATGGACTGAGACTACATATAAACACGTATAATTCGAGTTGAACTAAACTACACAGAAAATAATATTTTGTTCCATGGGGCCCAATCACCGTTTAAAGTTCAAACCATTTTCTTCAAGTACATTGTGGCCCTCTAATAAATGGCACATCATATTTATTCAATTTTGTAATACTAATCAGTTCTTAGATATGGTGATTTAATTGTACTGTAGCCAATGTTTAAGGCACGGACGTCAATCCAAGAAATATACACAGGTATGTGATGACATCCATTTTGGGATCCAGAGACCAGTGAAACTTCCAAGATTTAAATCAGAAATCCTGTAAGATACAAAGGAAATGACAAATAAATTAATAATAAATTACACTCATGATAAATTAGTTGAAACATTGTGCATGCGATATAAGAAAACGTCCAATGAGAATAAACCTGATTAAGTACTCAATTATGTTCCTTTTATAACATGAACTTTGTCTGCCTCGCATGTTACCATGGATACAGGAATACAGTACTGTATTAAACTTTGTTCAACTGTTTTAAACTGAGTAATGGCTGCCTGATCTCAGAATCCGAAATGAAATGATCACATGTTATTCCAGAGCTGTGTTTTCACAACACAAATTGTGCATTTTTCCATGAATTTTCCATATTTTTAAATTTTTGACCAAATTTCACAATGTCTACATATCTTATAAATTACTAATTTTGAAAAATGTTCGAAGGGTGAACAAAGTAGGCTTTGGTGGTCAATGGCTTTTTCACTATCACAGACACAGAAAGTGCATTACCGGTACTTTCACTTGGAAATTATTGCCCCACATTTGTAGAAATTTAGTTTTCATGTACCCCCCACAACCATCCCTCCCCAATGAAAGAGGCCAATTATTCCAAATTATCGATTCAAAAACACTTACCAGTAGATTAGCTGTCTTGACTATGCCACTATCGCTGTCATCATCATCATCAACCAAGTTTCCTTCAGTATCTTGTTTTTCTTCATAGATATTAGCAGAAAATTTCATGTCCTTAACATTTTCATAGTAAACTGTATCATCCCTTGGTGACTCAGGTGAAGATTTGTAGAATTCATTATTAAAACCATTAAATCCATTTTGAGTGTCAGCTTTGTGATTATGTCTCCCATCATCTTGTTCATTTGTCTCCTCCTCAGCAACATATTCTGCTTTATACCCATCCTGGCTGTCCACAAGCAGAAATCCATCTGAACTGTCATGGTGATAAACATCCGGGCTATCGTCATGGTGATATCCATCCGGGCTACTGTCGTGGTGATATCCTTCCGGGCTATCGTCATGGCGATATCCATCTGGGCTGCCTTGGTAGCTGTAGTCCTCTTGATTTTCAGTTTGGCTGTCTTGTTTATACAAATATCTTTCCTCTTCAGGACTTTGAGGCTGCTCATCATCATCGTTAGGAGTAACGTCATCTGAATCATCTTCATAATCTTCTCCTATTAATTTTGTTTCCAGATGTATTTTACTATGTCTTTCTTCAGCATGCGTAACATCATCAGTTTCCCATTTATTTTTCAATGCTTTGGCACTAACAGACAGGTGTACTGGCTCGGGCGTCTCCCTTGGACGTTCATCTTCATCATCATCACTCACAACATATTCCTCACGCTCATCCAGCGATTTAGGGGATGTTTCAACCTTTTCAGATTTAAATTCAGCATGTGCAAGATCTCCTGTTTCCCATTTTTGTTTCAATGACTTAGCACTGGCGGAAAGTACCACTTTGTCACGCCCATCAGATTCCCGGGCTAAATCCAAACGCAGCTCAGGCTCATTTTCGGTTGTTTGACCACCCTCAACGACGCCCTCTTCAAGTACGTCTTCAAAGGCATGACGCGGAATTTCAATCTTTTCTTTCTTTATTACGGAAACATTTTCAAACTCACCTTTCTCCCATTTATTGCGTAGAGAACTCGCAAACGTCGTGAGGACACCTTCCTCCATGACATCAGTAGATCTTACAACATCATCTCTTTGCACAGGATTGTTTTCCACCACACTGTCATCAGCATCAGTATCTTCCCTCACGGGAATATCAATAACTTGTTTGTGTATCTTAGTTGCTTTCACCACATCTCCCTTCTCCCACCTGTCTCTTAGCAACCTAGCACTTGAAAAGACAATCTTTTCTTCCTCTTCCCTGACAACATCAGTTCTAATTTCAGGCTCATTTTCCACAACATGTGCACCTGCATCTTCCTGTTCCCGCAATGATCTAATATCTATATCTAATTGTTTTTTGATTGGCTGCTTTGGGTTGCTTATGTTGCCAGTTTCCCACATGCTGCGCAGTTTTTTTGTATTCGTGGAAAAAATTTGTTTACTAGTATCCGACTCCCTGACCACATCATCACGCCGTATCGGGTTGTTCTCAACCATTCCAGCATCTGCATTTACTTCATAGTCATCCAGTTTGGCAGGCAAGCTCACAGTAGCCGTCTTTTTCACCTCAACACGACTGACATCACCCCTTTCCCATCTCTGTTTCATTGACTTAGCATTCAAAGATGCTAAGATCTCTGCTTCCTTGTTTTTCTCTTCTTCCTCCTCCATCTCTGCCTCATCACTGCTGTCTGTGTCATGCCTTGGTTCCTGTCCACTATAGATGTCAATCACCTTGGGTGGCACGTTTGAACGCTCCTCCTTCTTTTCAAATCTATCCTTTATTGATTTCAATCCAGCAAATGTCAGCACCTCGGTATCCTCTGGTCTATCACTAGCCCTCACTACATCATCTCTAACTTCAGGCTCATTTTCCACAACCTGTACCTCTGCTTCCTGCCAGCTATCGGCCAGATTCTCAACCTTCACGTTATCAACCTTTTTTGTTTTCTTAACCTCACCACTTTCGAACATCCCACGTATCGACTTCATACCACCATACAGTTCTCTGGGCTCTTCTTTAGCGCTTTCTTCTCGAGCTAGATCTACACGTACTTCTGGCTCATTTTCAACAACCTCCGGTTCACGAGACATAATTTCTGGTTCTATTGTGACACATGGTTCCTTTAGTTCATCAAAACTACCTGCAGTTTCAAATTTCCCTTTAATGGACTTTATGCCAACATACAAAGAATCCGGATCTTCTTTCTCGTATTCGTCTTGCGTCAAGTCTGGTACCAACTGTTCTTGCTCTTCCTCTCCATTGGCTGAACCTGACGATAGAGAAATAAAAATTGAAATGAATATTGTTGTCAACATAAAATTCTGATAAACATTGAAGCATACATGAACACTAGAGGGCGGTCAACTACAGTGCCTAACAATGTACTCACAAACCAGCCATGAAAAGAGGAGAAAAATGACTGTACATTAGTTGCGAGTGTTTCTGTGACATTCAAGGTTAAAAGAAAGGAGCTGATGATGCAAGGACACACTAACTACAAGTCATGAAAATATCATACACAAAATGGCCATGACATGGATAAACTTGCAAAGCATTAATAAACTGACAAGTGATTTCGAAAAAACCTCAAAGTAAATGTAACCTTGGAATAAATCGTGTCATGATCATTGCAGTTTACCCAAGAGGAATAAATACTGGGGTGTGCAACATTCTGGATGATGTACGATGAAGATCACAGTAAAATGCCATATAGTGAAGGATTCATTTAGTTTGAATAATGAGATTTCGTCCACATCGTCAAATTATCATTTCACAGAGGTCTGTGGGACAGTGAGTCAGTGACGAATATAAAATGTCGTTCCCACCAATTCTGTCATGCCATGAAAATGGATAGGGGCAAAAATTAAATGATTTCAATAAATGAAATTTCCTAAAACCGGAAGTGCCAAGTTATTTTTGTCTTCTGTTTGTCTTCTGCAAGCTGTGATCCAGATTTAGACTGCAATTTCAACTGGCTAAGTTTTCCATTTCAAGTTTGCAGATTCCATTCCATTAAAGATAATTTTCATTTTCAACGCTTGAACAAATCTCTCTCATGACTTCTTGTCTGTCTTGTGATCTTATCGCATGTCTCCCTACTTGCTTGCCCCCATATTATCCGCCCTTGCTAGTAGCAGCAAAGTGACCATCACATGAAATGAAATTGCATGAAATGAACATTCACTAATTTCATTATTTGATTGATGATGCATGGAGAGAAAACGGAAAATGATGAGTCAAGCTTATACATGTCATTTCAGAAGTCATCTAAGTGCAAACTACAACAACATAGCAGACAAAATATGTACACACAAAATAACCATGAGCAAGCAAAGAAATCAACACTACTATGGTCACCATAATACTCACATTACCGTATTGCGTGTGTGGTCAGGAAAGAAAGACAACATCAGTAGAAATCATACAGACAAGACAAACAGGAAGGAAATTTATAACAATTATTTATTTACTTTTATTGTACACATTTCTTACCCCAATGGTGAAAATATGAATACTACAGATACTTTTACTTTACTGAGATGATAGAAGCGACATACAGAGCAATAAACCCGTCACCAATCTTTGTGCATACTTCGTGGATTTCCTACAATGTGAGGTTGCTGTCACTGAAGAATTCATACAAATACAGTTGTCATGTGAAGTGAGGGCACTGTCTCTAATGAATCCACACAAAAACAGTAGTCGTGAGAAGTGAGGGCACGGTCACAGAAGAATCCATACAAATACAGTTGTCATGTGAAGTGAGGGCACTGTCTCTAATGAATCCACACAAAAACAGTAGTCGTGAGCAGTCAGGGCACGGTCACAGAAGAATCCATACAAATACAGTTGTCATGTGAAGTGAGGGCACTGTCTCTAATGAATCCACACAAAAACAGTAGTCGTGAGAAGTGAGGGCACGGTCACAGAAGAACCCATACAAATACAGTAGTCATGTGAAGTGAGGGCAC